ATGACAATGTGTTTGTTTAGGTTAAAACGTTATTTTTTGAGTTAGATTGTAGTCATTTTGATGTGGAGCTCTTAACCATCTAGTGGTATGATCTTCACTTTATCTGATACATTTGATTCCTATTTTAAACTAGCATATTAGTATTATTCTGTTGGGATCCATTTGTTTATCTATATATATATATATATATATATAAAAGATGTCTTGTTCTAATAGTTGTTCAATTAATTCACATCTTCATATGTGTCGTGTATTATATGTTGTTGTTGCATATGTTGAAGTTTGATAAATTCATTTCTGCTCACTGCTTCTTTATTGGCAAAATTACTTAATGATAACTTTGAATTATTCATGTTAACTCTTTACTTTCGCTTCTTTACATGTGATGCTCTATCCGACTTCATTTCGGACTCCCTCTTTATATATCCTCGAGTTTAAGTTCGAGTCTCCCTCATCCAACAAAGTTGAAAAGGAAGCTGAAATACAGGGGAAGATAGCCTGAAATCGAGTTGTATTCATCAGTATACATGGAATATACAGCACATACAGTTATATACATGATATTCAATGATTGTGTACACTGTGTATACTAATCTGGAATGGGCCAAGAATCCCCAAATTCCAGCAGTCTGTTCTTTTGATGTAGTTGGGCTAGAAGCCCATATATTTGTGTAGAGTTTTGATAGTTTTAGGACAGCAAAATTGGGCCACAGGCCCATCAAATTTTGGCCGCTTTATTGTTAATTTAGGACAGGTTAAATGGGCCAATACCCCCCATATATTTGACTGATATTTAGTGTTAGAACAGGTGCAAGTGGATCTAAGCCCAAATATCATAAATTAGGCCAAAGTACTGGCCCAGGCGAACAGATAACCAAACTTGGGTCCAAAACATTCTTTCTCTTTATTTTATCTATTTCGTATATTTTTAATTGTTTATTTGCTAGTCGATTTTAAGGTTGTTCTAATTCGATTTCCCCGAAAAGATAGTCTTTCTAGATTTTTTAAAGACTAAATAATCATACTTATTTTACTACTTAAGTTAATTTGTAAAATATTTTATTTAAGTAAATCCTTTATACTATCTCCCTTTCCCTTAAAAAATAATTCAAGTTTTAAGTTGTTTATTTTTAAATATTAAGATAGTTAGTTTTCTTAATTTTAGTTAAGTTGCTTATTTGCTTAAAACATTTAGCCAAATAGTTAATTACTAGATAACCGCATGTTAGCGGGCATTTCGGGTGCTTTCAAACCTTTCCCGAAATGCTAATATGAATCTCGAGCCTTTTTTAAAAAAAATATTTTCATTAGGTTTATGTTTTAGTCTTTTGGAAAAAATAGTTTTCTTAATTTTTCTTAAAAATTAAGTGGCGATTCTTAAAACCAGTTCTTTTTTTTAATAAAACATTTACTATTGCTGCAATTACTCTTATTGCGTAGCAAAAAGATTATAATACCTATTAAATTTGATTGTAGCAGTAAAATTGTAGCTATTTTGATAAATTGCCACGATTGTTAGCAATTATAGGAAATATAAGGATTTAGCTTTGTCAACTTAATATTTGTAGCTAAGAAATTTGATGATTTTTTTAGATAGACACGAAATTTGAATTGTTATGGCTATTACTAAGTAATAGCTATGATTTTCAAATTCATAGCTTAGATTTCGTAGCAATAAGTATGTTTTCTTGTAGTGGAGATTCGCCAGATGTTGTCACTGGTATGATCCAAATCTTTAACTTTGATGTTTATGCTTTGCTAGATCCAGGAGTGAGTTTATCTTTTGTGACTCTTTATGTTGCGATGAATTTTGACGTTCTTCCTGAGAAACTTCTTGAGCCCTTCAGTGTTTTTACACCTGTTGGTGAGTCTATTCTAGCAGATAGTGTCTATCGTGATTGTACCATTTCCGTCAATCACAAAAGCACCATGGCTGACTTAGTTGAGTTAGACATGGTAAATTTTGATGTCATTCTAGGTGTGGACTGACTTCATGCCTGTTATGCCTCAGTTGATTGTAGAACTCGAGTTGTTAAGTCATATTCAGTAGTAAAAGAGCATGGGCCTAAATTTCCTCTTGTTAATAGCGCATCAATAAACTCAAAGTAGCATTAAGCCCACACGGGGAAAAATCCCCGACAAGGGCATACAAATGTATTCAAAAGCAAGAACAAGCCCAACAAGGGCATCAATCATTCATTCATTGTCACATAGGTAGATGTTTATTTTATTGCATAACAACTGATTTAACAATACAGTAGTGACAACTAAAACTTTAATTGTACAATACAAGAACTCGAAATAGTAGTTAATTAGAACCACTTAGGTTTACCATTTAAGGTAGGAATTGTTGTTTCAAATCTTGTTCTTGTACCAATTGAGTTATTAAACTCACAGTGAAAGTGATAGTCTGGTCAACTAATTTATTTGTAGTCAAATTAATATCCTTACAAAACTAACAAGTCAAGAGGGCTATATTATTTAACAAAGTAACACATTTAGATATTTATCCAAATTAATTATATCCTTATATTATATAGAGTATTGTCAACAAAAGTGGCTATAATATATGCTTGGTGGCTGCATGGAATTGCATGGATAGACAATCTCAAATTTTCAATAAGTTTATTTAAACCATAATCTACTTATAAATTTTGGTGAGTTTCATCATTTAAGAATATGGACTTTGGATAGACGTATTTGATGCGTTCATATATATGTATCACAGATATATGAGGTCAAAATTTGGTGTAATTTATTCTAGATACAGTGTATCCAAGTGGATTGCATGTATCCGACTCTCTCACTCACCTCTCTCCTATATTGTTTGCCTCTCTCCCTCTCTCGCTCACCTCTTTCCCTATATATTTGTATTTCAAAATGCATATGATATTCGAGAGGTTCCAAATACATATATCTAGTGGAATTCGAATATATCTAGGATATACATCGACTGTCTTGCTCGCCTCCATTCTATCTCGCTTGTCTCTCTCCTTATTTCAGTGTATATATCTTGTAGATAAAATACATGTATTTAGGTGTATCTAACTATAAATCTGATATGAAATTATCAGATAGTGAGATAATATGTAATTATTTCAAACTATAAAAAGAATTAGTAAATATGGTAGGAATGTTTATGTAACTAGGTAGTTTTTCCTTTTCTTTTTTTACCCCTCCAAGCCCTAACCATTTAAAAAAAAATCCAATTTCTCTATTATTCAGTCCCGACTCAAACTCATTTTATGATTGAGGGGCTGAATATTTATTTGGATCAGATCTGGAGGGATAAAAAAATGTGTGAGGTACCACATGATATTTTTGGAATTAAAAAACTATTTTTGAATTATTTTCTTTTAAATCAGTTTATTAAAAAAAAAGATAAAATATGCATTTCACCACTTTTTTTAATAAAGTGTGTATATTCGCTGTAAATCTTAAAGTTGAGGGGTAATATTTTTGTGGATGGACAAATTCACTAGTAATTCGTTAGGAGGTGGGGTAGAGAGTATTTTATATTATTTAAGACTTTGGCGCTAGGGTTCATAGCTTTTGTACTTAAAATGATGTTATCGTAAAAAGTGTTTATTTTATCAATTTTTCAAGACCGTGTCTTTATGTCAAATTAAATTCTGAAAGTGATTTTTTAACAAAGAGCTCGGACTAAGCACAAAGTTTAAGAAAGAGCTAGAATGGGGAGGGAGAGGGGGTAATATGTGTAATATAAAAGTAATCTATATATTTAATATAAAAAGGGTCTCATGCACAATATATTTGATTTATTTAATTTAAGTGAATTAGACTTAATAATATTTTTAATGCTATAGGCAAACCAAAGTCTTGTGTAAAGTTTTGTTACAAAGTAATATTTTAATAAGTGCACGTTACGGGTGTATTGAAAGTGATGTAAGGTCTAAGAAAAACCCTTGAACCAACACTACAATAACACCTTTTAGCAGTAATAAATATACACATTAACAAAAAGTATTAAAGCATTTATCAACATTAGTTAATTGCGATTGAATCCAATATCGCTAAAGGCTTTAGAGACATATACAAAAAATGTTAATTATCGCTAAAAATATATATTCCTAAGATGTAAAGAGTTATGTGGTAAATTACTAATTATCACATGAAAGATTTTAAAAGTCAAGCTTTCGACGATGCTTCAAATTATTAAATTTGAACTTTTGTACGTAAAGTTATGTATCCATTCCTAAAGAAAAATATCATGGAAATATCAAAAGAAAACAACAACACATAAAACTTAAAGTCTGATTACAGTTTGATGTTAATCTCTCTATCAGTGACTCCTTATCATAGATAAAAACAAATGAGAAGAGTCAAGATTGGAAGGATCCCAAAAAAAAAAAAAAGCATATTACATTAATGTGCCTTTTAACTTGGTCGCATTTTACATTTATGCCCTTCAACTTTGGGTGTGTACAAGTAAATATTTTAACTTGTATAAAATTAAACAAGTATACACATGAGTCATATGTGTGACATAATACACATAGGACACCACGTAGGATGAAAATTGTCATGTAGGTTCCCACATAGGACATATGTGTCTATTTGTTCAATTTTATATAATTTTAAGTGTCTACTTGAGCACACTCAAAGTTGGAGGGCATAAATGTGAGTTAATGCCAAGTTAAAGGATGTATGTGTCTATTTGTTCAATTTTATATAATATTAAGTGTCTACTTGAGCACACTCAAAGTTGGAGGGCATAAATGTGAGTTAATGCCAAGTTAAAGGATATATTTATGTATTATGCCTAAAAAACACTCTCCAAGAAAATTCAGATGTAAATGAAGCATCACATATTGTTCGATACGAATAAAACTATTTTTTTTCATATTTTATACACAATACATACACTAGCAACTGCAAGTTCAACAAGGCATCACATGGATAAGGGCATCCAAAAGTATTCAAAAATAAGAACAAGACCAACAAACTGATAAGGGCATCAATCATTCATTCACACCAAATTGATTGTCACAAAGATAGATGTTTATTTTATTACATAACAACGGATTTAACAATACAGTAGTGACAACTAAAACAAACATTAGTAGTACAATAATACAAGAAAAGCACACATTAGTAGAACCACGTACTTAGGTTTAGCATTTAAGGTAGGAATTGTTGTTTCAAATCTTGTTCTTGTACCAATAAATACCCTTATCCTTTTCTTTCTCCACAAAGATGCACTCATTTATATCCCTCCACATTGCCTTTAAAATTGGTGTATCATCAAATTTATAGTATTCTCCCAACAATGGTTTGATAGCTTTTGTTGCCTCAACTGCATGGTGATGTGATATGTATGGAAATATATGATGCAAAACATGTGTATCAGTAACATTGTGAAACACCTTATTTAAGAAACCATAGTCTCTATCTACTGTAGCTAAAGCTCCCCTTAGAAAATCCCACTCAGTTGAATCATAATGTGGCAATGAAGAGTGAGTGTGGTGCAAAAGAGTGATAAACACTACAAGCCCATTCACAATAAGAAGGGGTACCCCATAGATGCAAAAAACCCAAGCTAGGCCTTTTATCATAGTAGCGCGATACAACAAATAAGTTGTTGCAATGACACCTGCATCTGAAATGTAGATTTGTAGTCTCTCACGATCACTATATATTGGGCTATATGGATAATAGTGACTTGCAAAACGGTCATATTTTTTTCCTGAGACATTGAAGAGCAAGTACAAAGGCCATGCAAAAGTAAGGGTGAAGGCAAGTATGAGTAGTCTTCCTAGTGGATTATTCAAGTATTTGTAGTACCATCTTAGTTTTGATTTAATTCTTGGTTTGTAGACTTCATCATTCTCAATGGAAGCAGTGTTGGAATGGTGACGACGATGACTATGTTTCCATGCAAAGTATGGTGTTAAAAGTGCAGAGTGTAGGATAAGACCAACGGTGTCATCTACCCATTGGTAATCACTGAAGCCATGGTGTCCACATTCATGAGCAAGGATCCATATTCCTTCCCCAACACAACCTTGAGCAATCCAGTAAGTAGTCCATGCTACATAACTATATGGGGATGGAATGAGGTGAAAGTAAGTGTTGGCAATGTAGTAAAAGATGGAGACAAGTATGAGATCCTGAATAAGATACGAGAACGACTTAATAAGAGATCGTTCAAAGCAGTGGGGAGGGATAGCCCTCTTTATGTCACCAATTGTAAAAGGCGGCTTTGAAGATGGAACTCTTTTCGCAACATCATTTTTCTTTTCTTCTATTTTACTGCTCATATTACCACCACCTCCCATCCTCCTGCATCCAATAATTTATTTTAGTTAGTTAGTATAATATAACACAATATATCACTCCCTAAAAAAATATTATTAAACTAAAAAGTCTACAATTATTGACAAGAAATACCTCAATATATTCAAAAGTAGAGAGAAAAAAGTCTTTTGAGTTTTACTTTCTCAGATTGTGAACAAAGTTTCTCTATATATAATGCATATATGTAGGGGAATGGGACCCAGCAGCCAACCTACTTTGACCGAGGTTTTTATCATGCTATTTTACCAAGTTATTTATGTATAGTTATTTCAGATCGCCCTCTATTCCAGATCATGAACTAGATCATAATCATTCACAATGAGTCCATACCTTTCTAGGAGAGGTATTCATGTATTGGTTATTTCACATTTTACCCGGTATATAATAATATATAAAATTCACATAAAACTTTGAAACTGAGAATAACAACACTCCTAGACCAAATTTTGCATTCCAAAGCAGATAGAACTAACAAATGTATTAAAGTTGAAAGGGTAAAAATGTTCATAAAGGTAATTCACATAAAAACTTTGAAACTAAGGATAACAACACTCTTAAACCAATTCGCATTTCCGAGCTGATGAGACTAACAGAATTCCATTTTGAGACTCGTAGCTCCAGATGTTGACTAAAGTCGTTGATGGACTTAGGAGCTTCCAACCTTTAAAACTTCCAAAAAATTTAACTTTTCGATCCCGCTACAAAACTGACCTCATAAGCTGATCCAACGAGACTCAGGGAAACTATCGAGAGGGGTAAAGAGGTAATTTTTCAAAATATTTCCAAAAATGTCACTCAAGGTTATTACAGTTGGGTGGTGACATTTCAGAAGGAATTTTTTTTTTTTTTATCACTGATTCAATCAAAATATATGTGGAAATAGTCACTAAATATAAAATTTTAGTTGGAAAATAATGATTTTTTAATAGTCTAACAACTTCAACACTTCTAATAATATTACCAATAGAGTATACAATTTTTTTTTAAAAAATAATATATATTTCATCTTTTTAACAAGTAAAGGTATTAATTGGTGAAGTTCTTTCACATATGAGCACACAACCCTCTAAGGACTGAGGTTGGTTTTTCAACTCAATTTATGAATTGAGTTATTAAACTCACAGTGAAAATGATAGTCTGGTCAACTAATTTATTGGTAGTTAAATTAATATCCTCACAAAACTAACGAGTCGAGGGCTATAATATTTAACAAAGTACACATTTAGATCTTTATCCAAATTAATTATATCCTTATATTATATAGACTATATAGTCAACAAAAGTGGCTATAATATATGCTTGGCGGCTGCATGAAATTGCATGGATAGACAATCTCATATTCTCAAGTTTATTTAAGCCATAATTAAGTTATATTCGAATTTAATTCAGCTTCAAAGTGGATATCGAACACTTAGGTGAAAAAATAAAATAATAAGTTATATCTATGATTGAACCAATTTTAAAAATTTGCATATGATTTATGAAGTAGCAAATTTTATGAAGTTTAGTAGTCGGGTTTTTCAATATGATATTGAACACTGGTAGAAACCAAAAAGAAGTTATATCGATGACTAAAGCAATTTTAAAAAATTTGCATATGAAAATGCAAATTTAATTATATGAAGTATGGTGAATTGCTTGTACAAATAAATTTCAGATACTTTTATCTAAGTTTAAACATATGTGACAAAATAACTGAAGTTTGAAATATCAATATATCTAATATTTTATGAGATATATTCGGAACTAAAAGTAATTTCTATGCGGAAAGATTTTACCAAAATCAATATATAAGGTTAATGAACTCGAATTTGTGTTCTGTACAGCTCTTGAAGTTCGAAGCATGATTTATGACTTAGTTGGATGGTTGAGACGGATCCCGAGGAGCTCGGGAGTGTTTCCAGCTCTCTCTTGAGTTACTAGTTAAATTTCAAATCTTCAACCAAAATTTGAAATTTATGATTCACCAATGAAATGCTAGACTCTTGAATCATGACAATTTTACTTGATTTGATGGCAGTGATGTATTTGAAAAATCTCTATTAGATTTAAATTTTTAGTGTACATTATGTTGGATAGGTATATGGTGGTTAGAGTGAATACATTTAAGAATTTGTATAAGTTAAATAACCAGACATAAATATCCTACGTGGCATTCTACATGACAATTCTCGTTTTATGTGGCGTCTTGTGTATTATGTCACGTAGGGCATGTGTGTCTACTTGTTCAATTTTATATAAGTTTAAGTGTGAACTTGTACACACATCCAAAGTTAGAGGTATAACCAGATGTAAGTACTCCTTCATCCCTAATCAAAGGTCTCGGGTTCGAGTCCCCCAAATAGGTACAAAGTCGCCTTTGTTAGGAAGCATTTTACCTCCAATATAGGACTTTCCTACATAAATTCAAATTTAGTCGGACTCCAATGAAGATATCGAATATCGGATGAGAAATAAAAATAAATAAAAAATTAGAGGACATAAATATGTAAATTAAAAGAAATATTTATGTATCTAAAAAGTCTCTATCAGATTTAAGTTTATAGTGTACATTATATTGGATGGGGAGATGGTGGTTTATATAGAGTGAATAGACATGAAAACATCCAAACCTAAGAAAATTTATGATCTGTATGCTGTTGGGTAGTGAAATTGAATGGTGTAGAGTATCCGGAAAAATTGAATTTTCCATAATTTAGGCACTTAAATTTGTATAACGTTGCACAAATAGATACATATATTCTACATGGCATCCTAAATAACAATTCTCGTCTTATGCGACGTCTTATATGTATTATGCTATGTAAGACGTGTGTGTCTACAATTGTTCAATTTTATACAAGTTCAAGTATTTGTTTGTGCACATCCAAAGTTGGAGGAGGATAAAACCCGAGATAAGTTATAATTCATTCTTAATCGGTGGTCTCGGGTTTGAGTTCTCCTGAGTACGAAGTCACCTTTGTTAGGGAGTGTTTTACTTCTGACGTGAGACTTTCCAGTGTAAATCTAAATTTAGTCAAATTTTAATACAGATACCAAACACCAAATGAGAAACCTAAACGAACAAAGTTAGAAGGCATAAATATATAAACCTTAAAAGGCACATCTATGAATTTGAAAAATCTCTATCAGATTTAAGCTTTTAATGTACATTATGTTGGATAGGGAGATGGTGGTTAAAGTGAATAGACATGAAAATATCCAAATCTAACAAAAATTATGATGTGGATGCGGTTGGGTAGTGAAATTTAATGGTGTTGGGTATCTAGAAAAGCGGAATCTCGCATAATCTAGGTACTTTGTGTATAAAGTTGAATAAATAAACATATATGTTCTACGTGGTATTCTACATGACAATTCATGTTTTATGTAGCATCGTACTATGTCACATTGGACGTGTGTGTCTACTTGTTCAATTTTATACAAATTTCATTGTATACTTGTGTACATCCAAAGTTTGAGGGCATAATTATATGTAAGTATTCCATTATCATTAACCAGAGGTCTCGGGTTTGAGTCCCTCTGGGTACAGAGTCGCCTTTGTTAGGGAGTATTTCACTCTTAATGTGACACTTTTCGATGCAAATTTGGATTTAATCGAGCTCCAATGCCGATAACGAATACTGAATGAAAAAACAAAAAGAAGAAAGTTAAAGGACATAGTTGTATGAAGCCAAGTAAAGGGCACATTTATGTTTATTCCACTGAATACCTAACCCATGATGGTTGAAGCAATTATTTGTGCTTTGTATTTTTCATTTGAAATTTCTAGGTCAAAACTCGTGCAAGGATTTAGCATTTGCATTCTTCATTTATTGTTTTTGGTACATAGGAAAAAGTTTTCATTCTTCAAAATTCGTAGATGTCTTTCTTGATTCTACTCTTTGTTTTATCTACTTTTGTATTAATTTTAAGAGGAGCTGTCCATGTAGAGGATTATAAATGATATTTCAATGGCAAGACTTTTAAACCATGATAAATGCAAAGAACATTATAATTTGGCATAATATATTGATGTGTTATTTAACTTAATTTCAGTTGTTTTCTACATATATCCTCGACCTTCAGCTAAGAACATTATAGTATGCACCTAAAACTTGTATAAAATTGATCGAACAAGTAAATACATGCATCCTACATGACATCTTATGTGATAATTCACATCCCATATGACGTCCTATGTGTAATTAATATGACATGTAGGACGTGTGTGTCTACTTGTTCAATTTTATACAAGTTTAAGTATCTACTTATGCACACTTAAAGTTGAATGACATAAATATCAGTTGAAGTCCAGTTAAATGACACATTTATATGTTATGTCTTATAATATTCTTTAAGAATGACTTCATAACTTTGTGTACAAATTAAAGTTCAATTTTTCACTTAACTGGTAAACATTACAATTAATTATTTGGGTTCACTAGATATATATTCGTTAAAATTAGAGTGTCTAATAGGTATAAGTCCTAGCTAAAGTGTCTAAGTTAATTATGCGGAGAACTTAATTTAAAGGATTAAGCCAAAATTCAACCAAAAAGGGACATATTTGTGTGTGGTATAGCTTTCATTTGAAATTTCACTTGAAAAAATATTAATATTTCCATTATTTTACTCTCATTGTTTTATTTGATTTTGCTTTATACAAGAGATCCACTATGATTGCTTAGAGTCACTTAAATAGAATTGTAATTAGACTTTTGTGTGTTGTTGTTTTCTTTTGTAATTTCCATGGTATGCCTTATGAACAATACAAAATGTAAAAAACATCCAAATTTTCTTTAGGGAATGAGTATATGACTTTTTAAACAAAAGTCCAAATTTAATGCTAGACAATTTGAACGGTTGAAAAATAGATTCGAACATCTTTTATTGGATACACCTTTGTATATCTTAGGAACTGTGAGTTCATTTGAATTTTTAGTCTATCACGTAGCTTCCAACTTGGTTTGGTTTTAGGGCTTTCATTAGACCCTATTACTTCCAATACTCTCCTACACTTATTATAATGTCGGTATATATATAAACATGATTATTAACTTGACTTCAGTTGTCAATTATAATCTTTACCTTTGGGTGTGCGTGCACAAGTAGACACTTAAATTTGTATAAATTGAACAAGTA